AAAGCTTATCTGTCAGATATTATAAAACACTAAAAATTCATATTACTGTGTTGCAGATTTCATTTCATAGATCATGAAGGAAATATGCTATTGCTTTTTGTCCTGAAGGTTCACCTGTTACTTCTATGAACAGAATATTTAGAGAACTGATGGGATATTTACAAGTAATTTAAGCTGATTTCAGACCGATGCAGTTGTTGGTCAGTGGTTCCACGGTGCCTCCTCAGCCCATTCAGGAAGCAGCACCCGGGAACTTTTAAAAAATGTAGGTTCTCAGGTTGCACCCCAGATCTACAGAACCTGAGGCCGTGGGCATCAAAGCCAGCATGCCTGTTCTAACAAGCTCTTCAGGTGACGCTTGGCCGAAGCCTGAGGCAGTAAGACGGCAGGTGGCCACCTGTGTGCAGGTGTGTATCTTTTACATACTGGAGTCAATGTTCAACTGGATTTTGAAATTCATGTTTTATTTGCATGTATGTCAACTCTGGTTTCACCCAGCGACCATCTGTGACAAGACAGTTTATTTCATGTGACATCTCATCCTTCACTGTGGGTTCTCAGCACGGCCATAACTACACCTTCTCAGTTAACGACCACTTTTATAAAAGGTTCAATCATGTCATAATGTGTAAGCAGCACTTTCCACATGGCTGAGGTATGCTTACCTGTCTGAAACGCGTATTCATCTTTACAGTAGTCCTACAGCATGGGCACCACTATGATATTCAGGTATGCATACGTTTACCAGAAAACATTTTATCCTTGTACCTCGGTTATTCGTGTTAAATAAAGAAACTAAGAAATATCAATTTGTTTAGAAATAGATAATAACGTAAATAATTCAGAGATCACTTCCATCTGTTTCTACCACAAAGAAAACCATTAAACTAAGAAACTATTTTTTATGTGTTAAGTATTACAACAGATCATTTTATCATACTTTGTCAAAATTTGGAAAATACTGATCCCTTCAAAATTAGAAAAGACCTGTATAATTCTGAAAACTTGAATTAATGAAGGTCAATAATAACTATAATGCGACCATGATTTAGGAACAGAAGTGTAACATACCTAGGTAACACATATATAATGCTCAGTCTTTACAACTAGACTAAGGATGCTGTCTGTATACACAGGTTATATTACTTTGAAACACTCCCATCTAGTGGTCTAGTGTTTTAATTACACCTTTTATTAAAACGGTACAATAAGAAGATGCTTCTGCTGTTTAACTTCATTGAAGAGGCTGTTTTGGTGTTTTTATTTTTATTCTATTTTTTTTAAGATATTACTGGGGAATTGGGGGAGGGAACAGCATTGGGGAAGTAGGGAAGGGGAACAGACAAGTTGCTGTCCTTTTGTTCTTCAGTCTAGTTGTAGAGGACATTGCTTCACTGGCCCATGTTGGTATTATGATCATTGCGCTCTTCCCGGGTGAGGCAGTCACTAGCCGGATACTGGACAGCCGCTCACAGCAGCTCATGCTGGCTGCCGGCCACTCACGGTAGCTTACGGCAGCCCACTGCAGCTCCACTGCAGCCTACGTCGTCGCCGGCGGCTCCCAGCAGCCCAGCTCCAGGCCGAGCTGTCGTTCAGCATCTTAGCTGTAGAGGGCACAGCATCACTGACCCATGTGGGATCCGAACTGGGGCCCTGCTGCTCAGAGCTGGCATTTCCAAGCCAACTCCTAACCAACGCGCCACTCGGCCGGCCCTGGTGTTTGTTTGTTTTTTGTTTTTTTTTTTAGCTGAGCCATCCTGCTACCTGTTGGCAGCTCAGTGGCTGCTCAGCTCGGGCTGGACTCGAACCGCTGTTGCTCAGAGCTCAACTTCTTGAGCGAGCTCTTAACCAACTCGGCCCTGGTGTTTTTAAATTCATTTTAAAACAGTTAATTCTCATACTCTACATATATTGTTTTATAATATAAATGTTTTCTCCATGAAATTACAAACATTTAAATTACCATAATCATCCTATTGAATTATATATATAATTCATTATAAAATATATAAATATGCAATACATATAAAATATATACTGTGTTGCAATTAATGTCTTTGTATGTAACTGACTGAAGTTTGCCCCCACAAAATTTTTACTCACTCTTATAACTAGAATTGCTGAGTTTATAAAACAAAATCGGAAGATGTTTAATATTAGCTTTGAAAAAAACTGTTTTTCTTCTGTGACTATGTCTGCTGTGCAGTTTTGTGTTTTGGTTGTGATGACTGTACACATTTTTTAATTGAGGTGTAACTGACAGACGACATTATATTAGCTTCAGGAGTACAGAAATTATTTGATATTTTATATATATTACTGGTATTGTAAAATGATCATCGGAATAAACCTAGTATTTTCTAAATATAGAAATATTTAAGAAATGCAAAAGTCAGGTCAATGGGTTTTGGTGAGTAGATTGTTTTTTTCTCCCACTATCGTTTGCTACACTGTTTCCCACTCGGTGCTTTAGCTCCCCCCCTTATTCAACACGTGCTTATTTGGGATTTATTACATGCCGGGGCCGATTCTGGGGTCAGAGTCGTGAACAAGACAATGGAACTTACATTGCTGGGAGCAGAGAAGAAAAGAAATGACAGAAGAATACAAATTAATAGAGTGACGGTTGCTATGAAGAAACAAAAAGGACTAATAATGGCCTGACTACATTAGAGCCGATCATCAGAAACGTCTTCTCTGCAGAAGTGGTCTTTCAACAGACCATAAGCCAGTTTACACAAGATTTGGGAGAACATTCCAGACCGAAGGAAAGATGACTGCGAACGGCGTTGGGCGGGCCTGGGGCTTCGTGGGCTCCGGAAACAGGGAGGAGGTCGGGGGGCAGCAGCGCGGCTTTGTGGGCGCGTGCAGGGGTGAGGCAGGAGCAGGGGCCAGGCGGGCCTGGGCTCAGGGGTGCAGGCTGTTGGCGGACGTACGCAGAGACCACTGACATCACTTACGCTTTATACAGTTCACTGGCTTTGTTTTGTAGACGGAGAGGAAGGGAACGAAGCGAGAAGACCCGCCGTGGGACTGAGGTGCCTGCTGCCTGGTGTAGGTTGGGAGTGGTGATGGGGACAGCGAAAGAGAAAAGAATCTTAAACACTCGAGTCAGAACTGATAGGAGGTGATGCAGAGTGAGGAGGGGCAGTGGATCCGGGAACCATCACGAGGCTGTGGCGTAAGTAACGGGGTGGTGATGGGGTCTCTCGCTAACATGGAGAACCTGGGAGAGGAGTTGGGGCAAATGGAGACTTCTCTGCACCTGTGGGCACCTTCTCACGTGCACTCGTTTGGAACCTCTCCCCTGTGACTCTCTTTACTTAACAAATAATAAGCGTGTGTCGATGCCAGCGCTATGCTAGGTGGTCGGCATTTCCAGTGACAATAAAGACGCCTCTGCCCCTTCAGAACATCTAGACTCATCGGAGAAACAAAGGCAGTGACCAAATCGCCATACAGGACAGACAAGCCGGGGGAACCGCAAGCAGGACACAGGAGCCACCTGATAATCCTGTGACAGGGCTGCGGAGAGGAAGGGAGGATGCGGGGTGACGGGCTGCGAGCTTAGTGGGGGTCTCGCCATGCAGGAGGTTGAAGAGCAAGCGAAGATTGTGTCATCACCTAGGAGCACTGGCCAGTCACTCGGGAGTCAGAGCAGGAGACAGCATGACCACACTGGTACTAAAGACATCACCTCCCCGTGTAGTGGGGAACGGAGGGAGGGGGCCAGCGGACAGAGCAGACCAGCGGCGGGCAAGTGTCCCAGCCCCAGTGGTCCAGTGCAGAGCTCTGGGGGCCAAGGAGCCACACAGGAACCACGTGGCCAGAGGCAGCGGTGGACCGAGCATGGGGGACAGAGGCCACTGTGCAGCACATGCCCTGGACACAGCTGCCGACCTGGCTGGAGGCGGCCCTGGCCATCTGTAGGCAGGTGCTGAGCAGACCAGGTAGGGAAGTGTGTGCTCACTTTGAATCACTGAGTCTGCGACGCTTCAGACCTCAGAGAAGAGGCGCCAAGGAGGGAGGGACAGTGCAGGCCTCAGGTGTAAGGAGGCTCCTGGGCTAAAATTCCCTTCAGGTCATCGCGTGCACATGACCATCAAAGCCCTGGACGGTCCGGCGGGTTAGGGAGACGCGGGGTGGGAGACAGCGCAAGGGTGAGTCTGCAGAGAACCGCTGGGCCCGCGAGGCGGGGCGCCGCCCTCCCCTTGGGGACCTGCAATGCACAGAATGACCGGCTTGTCTCAACTGCTGCTTTTTTTGGGTTTTACCCCTTCAGCGGTTCATATACATACAGTACTGACTGTTTTCCCCTGTTGTGTGTTTTGCCCACCTACTTAAAAACCACAGTTTCTAAACATGATCAATAAGTCAGCTCTAAACTCAAACTCACCTTTCTTTGGCATTGCTAAGAGAATACGGAGGCCGCGCGGGGTGACTGTCGGCCTGGGTCTGGGGCCCAGACAGCTCTGCTCTAATCTCTGTCTCTAGGCCACACAGTCACACTCACCAGTGACTCAAGTCCCTCGTGCCTTAAGTCTACAAACATAAGATTGTTTTAGAGGTTAAATGTGTGTAAGCGCTTAGCGCACATCAAACAGTTTAAAAGAAACCCACAATTCTCAATAGATTGTCTGCTGAGCCAGACTGGGTGTCTCAATTATCCATTGGCCTTGTTTGAAAGTATGCCATATTGGACATTTTCTTGAAAAGTGACATTTCTGCCTTGTACTAAAAGCAACCAGATGAATATACATTCATCTTAATTTGACATTAATCCTAAGTATAGAAATTATTGCCATCTTACATTTTGTAATGTTGTGGTATTACATGGTCTGTTGTAAATCTAATCATTCAAATCAAAATACTTTTTTATACCTCATTTATACTTCCTCAATTTATACTCCTTACAGATATTCCAGGAGCAGAGGCAGCAGAAGAAAAGGTTGATATGTAATTTCTGATCCTTCTCATCTGGACAGAAAAGAATACAAACATTTTTAGAGTACATGAAGTCAAACTTTTATTCGGAAAGTTGAGTTTCATGTGCAGTGAAAATATTTTTAAACCATACATATTCATAAGCATCATATAAACATCACCTACAACACAGACACATTTTAATAAAGTTCTACTATGAATATTAATCTAAGCCAAAAAAAGAATAACCAAGTAAACCAGTTTTACATACCTTGTATCTCTTTTGATGACATAATCGAACAATTTAAGATACAAAACAGAGTAAGCTTTGGCTGCACACTACTCGTCTCACTGTGGGAACAACAGGCTAGACGCTACCACACATTACAAACCCAGCCCCTTTATAATCGATTCAGTCAGTACAAGTACCACATTGTAATGGCATGTAAACATATTTAGGGTTTCAATTGGCAATTATGCTTTAAACGCTTAGAAAAACACACCAGCGTTTCTCATTATTGGTCTCTCATTAGCTCATCTCTTCCATGAATATAAAATAGGGAAAAAAATATCATTTGAGACCTCCAGCATAATTTCATTGTGCTTTACATTTTTATAAACATGGGCACATCTAAAATATCAGATGCCTTCATACCAATAGACTAAACCCACCAAATTCACATTTTCTTATAAACACACATGCAAAATCAGTGAAGAACACTTTTGTATAGCAAAGACCCTGCTTAATTTTCTTCTGATCAAGTAATTTTCGATGGCATGTGCAAATCATACTGCTCATTGAACAGTCGATTTCATTTCCTGTAGATTTGTTTTTTCTATAAAAATATATTTATGTGCTCACAGGAAAAAAATTGTGTTGGTGTGCGTGGGGTGACTTTTCGATACATCATTAAGATTCTAGGTTTGTTTATGAAGTTAAAAGGCATCTTAGCTTTTATCGTTTTCAAATTGTAATTCATACAAAAAAACACCCTGTGACAAAGATCAGGTAACTGAGATAACATTAGCACTTTGTAGTTGAGACAGTTTGAAGCAGAGGGGACAAGCAACTCGCCTAAAGCTTTATGTACAAAGTCAGTGCTGGAACCTGGGAAAGACGTGGGTTTTCCCAGCCCATGGGCAGCTCTCTAGGAAGTCATCCCACCAACAGTCCTTGAGGTTAATCACAATCTACTGCATTAAAATAATAGCGACAGTGGACAAAGGCGGTCATGGACCCATTCCTTCTGCGCAGACAGTTCCCGGTAGAAGCTAAATGGTATTGAGAAACGAGAATAGAGAGAGACGGCAAAAGGCAGTGTCATGCGATCTTATGTTTCACATCCGTTAGTTTTGGCCATTCGGAAAATATGAGGACATTCTTGTTACTCAGAGGCTAACGGGGAGCGCCAAGATCGAGGAAAAGCGGACATTTCATTATTGTGTTAATTTCTAACTTAAAGATTATTACATTTATAATAAATCTGCTCCTAATGGTTTTTTGACATTCTTGCCAATTTGCACGATTCTCTTGAGACCCTTTTGGGTGATGACAAAGAAGAGAAACTGGAATAATAGCAGAACTAAACTCAAAAGGCCCAACCTTGGCCTCATCGCCAGCTGAGTACCAGAAATTCCTTCCAGACAAGTCAAAACGTGGTATTCCTCCCTCCAGAAAAGCTGTTCCTTAGAAATCAGGTGGAGATGAAGCTGCAGATGCACTGGTGGGCGTGCGGATCCCACTGTCACGGGGTGAGGGCCAGGGTACCTTCCCCGCTGGAAAAACTCCCTTTGGGGATGTGGGCAAACCCCGAGCCACGAGGCATTGTTGAAATAAGACGTTTGTCTGCTGCCTATGCATTTGGACGTGGGTCACTGCATTGACCATTATAAGCACCACTAATTTTGGTCCACAGGAAACAGAGTGGGCTACAGAAATCAAAGTCAACGATTTAACAAGATACGCCCATAGCTACAGTTCAAAAACTAAAGTGAAATCTGTGAGCCAATTTCACTTAAACGTAACTAAGAATTTTGTGGTAAGGTTAAAAAACGTTTCCATAAAATGAGAAGTTGAATGCTGAATTTTACTGACATGCACGCACAATCCTTCCTACTATTCCTAAACCATTTCCATGTACAATTTTAGAAGGGCTAGTAGACCACATGCCAGGAAGTAAATTTCCCGAATTTTTACTGACATTGACAGAAGGAGAACACAGAAAACGTCCCACCCTCAAGATGTTTAAAATGGGACTCAGGCAAACATATGTACAGGAACTTCGAGTGTAAACAGGTTTTCCTCGGGGGCTGGTGTAGAGCACACGCAAACAACGAAACTTATTTTGAAAAATAGGAAAACATTTCCCCCAATATTTATATGATATTTTATTTCAAGGCTGTTGGAAAAGCAATAGAAGAACAAAAACCAAATGCTTTGTACAAAGCCTCCCGCTGGGGAGCTCACGCTATTGGGCGCGGCCCCGGAACGCCAGAAAGCGGTATCGCACTATTCTATCTTACTATTTACAGACATTCTGTTAATGTTGTCTCATGTCCAAATAAAACACATCTATACTTTAAACTGTGTCAATATAATATGTACAATGCATTCATGAAATCTATGTGCATACCATCCTATAAACACAGAAAAAAGGAAAAGCGGCCAATTGAGAGATGGCAACATTGACTATGTAGAGTTATCACACGCCGGCACCACAAAGAACTCATGCGTGTTCTTTCACAAGATAACCTTCCGACCACGGCCGTCACTGCAGCTGAATTTAGTCCAAGGAAACCCCCCAAAAAACAAAGGCCTTTGCAGATGTCATAACTGACAGAAATAAACGGCGGACGTTGAAACTGAAGAAGTTAGAATTCTGTTTGCACAGGACTGTTCTGGGCAAGGAGTTAGAGCTCAATAAATACCAGCTGATTGCCTACCTAAGATGACTAAACATTTAAATAATGCATTTAGACTGCATGTGCTCAGCGAGCGGCCTTAATGGGACACTCGTGCTCCTCTTCCAGCTTAAATAACCGGTGGCGTACCATCTTTTAACCTGTCAGGAAGCAAAGTCACTCCGACCGTTCTCAGGGCCGACACACGTGTGCACACAGGGGCAGGAGGGCGTCACGAGTGTGCAGGGCCCTGGCGAGCCCTCGGGTGCGAACTTTGGATTCAGTTGAGGTGACGCTAAATACAAGGTTTGGGCTGTGTTCTGCATTTCAGCACCTGGAAAGAAGCCAGACAAAAGCCACAGGCCTGTCGTGCTCAGTGCTTTGTCTTCCAAGGCAGCGCCACGTTCCTCCACGTAGCGGCAGGCTGCTGGCGTCTGCACGGACCCTTCTCCCCATGTGTTCCTGTCCCCGCGTGAACGTTCTGCGACACGGGCGGCTGTCCCTGCGCGCCGCGCTCACGCTCGGAGCGGGAAGGCCGTCGAGGAGCCGGCGCTGCCCTCCACAGACCCCTTCTCCTTCGGCCCCGCGTACGCCCCGATGAACGAGCCGTCCTCACCGAACAGGCCCTGCTCGCCCTCTCCGTACTCCACCAAGCTGTCGGCGCTTCCTGTGGCCTGCGTGTCCCTGGCGAGGGACCGGAGGCTTCCTTTGAGGGGTTTCTCGTCACTGTCACTAGAAAAGAGGAAAGGAATGGTTCCACCAGGTCCAACATGAGACAGGCACACAAAGCGAGAAGCAACACAAGCGCTAACTAACAGTCTTGTAATTTTCGGGAGGCTCGTGCTAACATCAAGGACAGATAACCCTAAGTGACACTTCCACAGATGCGTTTGAGGCGTCACAGCCTTGGTGTCCTCCTGAGGAGCTGAGGAACATCGTTCACAGCACTCCCGGTTCCCTGCCCACTGGGCGCTTCCGCGGGACACGCCGACGTCAGTGTGTTCACACGCAGAAGCACCCCTTCCTCCGCGTCCCTGAACGTTAGACTCCCAGTCACCAAGTCTTGACTTTCTGTCTTTACCCTTGACCCTGTCCGTTCCTCCACATCCCTCCAAAAATGTATTTTTGTTTAGGTTACTCAGTCAAATTCTGTTTCCTGTAACCAAAGGATGTCCTTTAATACAGTTTAAGAACTCAGGTTTGTTAAATTTAAAAACAGGGCTGGCATTTTTAGCATAAACACTACGCGTATCCTATATTTACGGTTTGGGTTTTACTCTTCAGCAAAAGCAACTCCAAGTTAGTAAAATGTCTATAACACGGCACGGCCTGCTAATCCCTGATCAAGCTTTTTTCTTTTTCTTTTTGTAAGTACCAACGACTCTACACTTTGGAAAATGAAGAACATAGAAAAAGAATCATTAAGACGTGACCAGCACTTCATAACACTGGTGGTGTCACCAGTGCTGCTCATCTGAGGTCCCGTCCCCAGCACTCCGGAAGCACTTCCCTGCCCTCACACCAGCCTGCGACTCACTTTGGCCACAGGAAAGGGGCAGGGGTGGCACGTGTCACTTCTAAGCCAGCGTTCAAATCGCCATGTCCTGTACCCCTGCGCTGTGGTGGTCTGACCGCTCCACCAGCCAGTGCCCTGAAGTGACAAAGGTGACCAGCACAGCCTGTGTCAGACCCAGGACGAGACAAAGAACCACGTGGGAGTTGCTTTGACAGAAGCGAAGGTCAGGCTGTCCTGACTGATCTGGTCACTGTGGCAGAGTTCACCTTCTACAGTTATAAAAATAGCAACAAAATCCCAACATGTGGCACTCACTGGCTTCGAACCAGGTCACGGTGGTGACAAAACCATTAGGAGAAGCTGGAAGGATGAGACCGTGGCCGCAGGGGCACAGTGTCCAGGAAAGCTGTCTCGTGGGATGGCTGGGAGATCAGATCACTTCCTGAGAACATCGCGTAGGGAACGTGGGTGGGAACGTTAAGTGCTTTGAGGGGGCAGCTGGGGGCTCAGGGGACGGTGTCACCTCTTTTGAAAGAAGCGTCGGAGCACGACGGATGTGTTTTTGAACAAGGCACTGAGTTTTCTTGCCTATAAAATTAAGTAATATTTGTCTTTCAAAAGTATTTTAAACAGTTGCTGTAGGTTCACAATGGCCTCAGCCTCCTGAGATTTGAGCCACAATTTGTAAATTCCCACCTCTCCCCGCCTCCTTCCTTCTTCCCAGTTAATGCTCCTTATTCTGGAAAGAACTTAAAGTGATTTTTCAAGAAACATAAAAATCTAAAGAGAGTGTTTGCTCAGTTGAAGAAAGAAGAATATGTCCCGAGCAGTCAGAGCCTCTGACGAGGCTCGGCTGTTCGCAGCTGACCCAGGACAGCCACTCAGAACACCCCAGGTCCCTGGGGGCAGGGCTGGGCCAGTCGGCCTCTGACCTGACAGATTCTGGTGTGGCCAGTGCCAGCAGCCACAGGACCTGGGAATGGCAACAGCTGTCTTGGCTGCGGTTCAGAGGGTCGACTGGAAATGATGGCAACCCAGGCAAGAAGCGTTAAGGGATGGAGAGTGCGGGAGAAGGGGGCAGAGGGAGGGGACAGCAGGACAGCGAGAGAGGGTGACACGTCCGAGAGCTACGTGTCTCACACCAGATTTCGTGCAATTTCCCCACTTGTATATCCTCATGAGGCACTCATGGTGCCCAGGGGTTAATGACAACCACACTTTTGCAACCTCTGAGCTGCTCTTACGTGTTTCTGGATGACCCTTTTCCAGACTCCCTCCTAGGCAGAAATAGCAGCTCCTTTTCTGCTCTGTTATCCTGTTTCTCTAATTACAGGTCCTGGCATACAGAAGTGTTATCCTCCGCAGACCACACTCACCTGGGGACAGGGTAACTTTTACACTTTTGCATGTGCACATAGTAGGCGCACACAGTACATGTTTGTGGGTGTAAATCCATCACAGCCCGGGATCATAAGAGCCAAGCAAAAGAGCGACTGCAAGATATCCAGCTACCCATAGAGACGGTCAGTGCCATTCGCCAGCAGGCAGGGCTTCGAGGACGTCCCCTGGCCTCTGCCTGCCTGGTGCGCCACCCCGCACCCCACACGCACAGGCCCGGGAGCCGTCAGGTAAGGCCCGAGGTGCACAGGCTGTGCTTTATAGAAGAGACACGTCCGTGTGTGTCGGCTCACGGCCGTATGCCCGTGCTCTGCACGTTTAAACGGAAGGCGCGCTTACCTGTAGTCGCCGAACGTCTCGTCCTTCCCCGACTGGCCCTCTGGGTCTGGGTGCAGGTCTTCCTTCTCTTTCACTGAAAAAAAACAGAGAAAAGAACGCAGATAATTTTAAAGCTGTGTGAGCTGAGCTGCTGGGAGGTAGGTGACCGGGGAGAACAGTGCTGCTCTCACTTTGTGACACTCGTGAGTCACGTCTTTTTGTGTGGCTGTAGTGACAACGCACCAGTTACCTCTTCAAGGCAAACAAGGACTCTCTGGGTCCTGCCTTTGCCGGCAGAGTCCCACACGCTGCACACTTCCTGTGGCGTCAGGCGTGACTGTGGCTTCTTAAGGAAGGCCAGAGGACTGAACTCACCTTTCACTGTCCTAAGCTCTGCGAGGGCGCCGCTCACGCATATCAGCTCTACGTCATTAAACTAAAGAGGAGAGTCAGCCAGTTGGCTGGTCCTCGCTCTCTCTCGCTCCAAACTGCCTCCGTAATCAGGATATTCAGGTCAGTGGTGACATTTTCCACCAGATTGTTCCTGAACGGTGGGGCAAAAGCCAGCAGGCCCCGGCCTCACCCACTAGGCAATCTCCAACACAACGCCCTCCTCGCGACACCTCCATGTTTGCAGTCCTGGGGGGACTCTCTTGGCTGCCCCACAATGGGAGGTGTGCACCTTTTGTTTTAAGGGGGACGCTCCGGGAGCATTCGGACAGGACCACGCTTCACGATGGCCATTTGTGGGGGATGCTGGAACGAGAATGCTAGGTCTCCATAAAGCTCCCGATTAACCACCTGGCACATTCATTTGCCCTTGCGAATCTACGTCATGGCAATTCAGTCACCACAGGGAAAAATGAGATAGCTAATTCCATAAATCTTCCGCGTAATTTTACAACAATTTAGAAGCCGTGCTCATTTGTTCGGTACACATATTGGGCTCCCAGTGAAGATTTGCTAGATGAATGCTAAGCCGATGAACTCTCCCCAGTCTGAACATCATCAAAGTCATAGCTAGCAGTGGGGTCTAAAGCTTTCTCCAAATAAAAGCATCACAAATACTAAGAAAAACTAATAACAGCAACAACACAATCTGTCCATCTGGAAAAGATACAATAAACTTGGAAATTGAAGGAAATAAAAGGGAAAGCAGCCATTACATCACTTAGGCCGGCTTCGTTTATTTGGAGCCTATTTTAAGTGCTAGACGCTGGTAAGCAGTAGCCACCTGGAGGCGGTGCTCCAGACCGTCTATCTGGTCACTTGATACAGGAATAATCTTTCCTCTCAGTACATTGTGTGTCTAATGTGCTAATATAAATTTGACTGAAATGTGTAACTAAAAAAAACAAGACATGTCTCTGACATGTGCCTCCTAGAAAATACTGTTACATAAATTGAAAGTCATGTTAAAAAACAAGTCGTTTGCTGCTTTGTTTTATATCCCACATGAGTGGAATCATGTGATTCTTGTCCTTTTCCACCTGACTTATGTCATTAGCGTGACCCTCGCAGGGTCCATCCATGTCGTCTCAAGTGGCAGCATTCCACGTTTTCATGGCCGAGTGATAGCCCATCGTATGTATGTACCGCCTCCTCTTTATCCGTTCATCCACTGAAGGACACTTAGGTTCTTCCATGTGTAGTGTTACCCCAATACATTTAAAACAGAAAAGAAAAGCACTTTACCTGAGTACTTCCCACCTTTGTTCCTCTTCACAAAGCAAATGGTTAACAGCGTGAGTGTGAGGAGGGCAATGGCACACATCAGCCCGATGAACCAGCCTTGCGTGGCGATGTCGTCATACAAACCAGCATATTCTGCAGCACAGAGAGGCACACGCTGAAGGCCACAAACAGTCACTGGGACGGTGCCCCTTTGGGGACAATTAAACATCACTTTGAACACACAAAATAGCATCAGTTTTATTTCTCCTTCGAGCGACCCTCGAGGGAACGTGACCTGAAGGACAGTTCATTGGGAGAACGGAGACAGGTCGTTCATCTTTATTTAGGGAGGGCCCTCTCCAGGTGCATTTGGTTCTGAGGATGGAAGCCACAGAGGACAGGGCAGCAGGTCAAGTTAAATGAGCAGCAGCGGAAGCAGAGGCACCCTGGTTATATGCAGGTGGCGTGGCGTCTCTGTGGTCTGGTCTGATTTTCATTTTAGTTTCTGTTATTCACATGTGTTAATGAGCAGGAGGTATATTTAGGCAACTACTCTGGCCCAAGCAATACGGGCAGCTGGACCTTTGTAGGGCATTTCTCGCTGTGATAACTTTAAATGGCTATGCCGAAACAAACTGGAAGTACTGTTTTTATGGGCATGTACTCCATGTTTTCACCTTTAATACAGGAAGTACATGCAAGCTAACCCTCTACGGAACACACACGGGATCTCACGTCTCACCTCTCCCTCTGGTCTCAATTACATCTTCAAAAATGCTATTGTTATCAACCCAGCTCTTAGTCAACAGGCGGACTATGGGTTCGGCTCCCGGCTCAAACGCCTCTACTGGGTGCGCCTTTCGAGTAACATTTACTCCTTCTGGACTCTTCCCGACAGTTTTACCTAAGGAATGTACACAGTTAGGTCATACAAACTGTAGTCGCTGAAAAGCAGGACATGAAAAGTAAAAAGTATATTGTTATCTGAGGTGAGTAAGAGCCGCCAGTGGCATTTTTTTCCCTCTTGAATTACCAAGAGCTCGATAAAGTCAACATTTCAAGCTTTTCTGTTTTAACATACTGAAATGCAGTAAATGAAATGAGCTGAACTCACGTCCTTTTAAAACGACGTGCATGCTGATGAAATGGTAAATGATAAATCTGCCTGGTCACGTGAATGGTTCAAAACCCACACAGGCTTCAAAAAATTATACAGTGTCACTTGTGCAATTTGAACTTGCACGAAACTATCAGGAAAGTGAACGTGGCCATGTGGCTTCTAATCGAAAGCCTGTGACACCTGAATTGTATATTATTTCTTTTTGCCTTGGTCTTCTCTATAAATATTGACGAAAACGCATCATGACATGGTCATATACTAAATATATTAAATTTGTAGAAACTTAAGCTACATAAAATGCAGGTTTATAGGAACATGTAAATGAAATACACTGAGATATTTGAAAGTGCTATGAGAAATTAATACTTTTCTGAAAAAACAAAATAACATGAATATGCCAATATATTAATTGTAGAATCTCATAGTCTCAGATAAAAATGAGTCAAGTATAATTAAAAGATGCATTTAATTTCTGATCTTGAAACAAAATATCTAAAATATTTTCTTAGACATTTTGCTAAGAATCAAACCAACAGAATAAATATAAACCAGAAAATGTTAAAAATTTATACTGAAGATAAAATATATTCCATGTTGAGAATACTAGGGGTTCTGAAACTTTCTTTTAAACGGGTATACCATGTTACATGTTAAAATTTTGTTAAAACATTTTACCACAGACTAGAAATTGATTATATAGTTATTGATAACAAAAGGGCGTCATTAAAAATGGCGCCAGGGAAGAAATCAGCCCAGCTATGTTAGTTGAGCAAAGCCATTAAGATTGCACACCACTGAAACAGAATAGAATGCAATTAATTCTGTCTTTGAAAAACAGAAATAGTAATATAATATTAAGTAGCGCAAGCTTTTGAAAAACAGAGCAAAGCAAAGGTTTTATTCAAACCAGTAATGACACAAGAAAGAATATTTCTAATTAACTTCATCTTTTTGTTCCCCTTAGATTATGGAACGTGAAACACCAGAAAATCAGCGTGACAACTTTGAAAATAATCAGAAAAAAATGCTTGTATACGAAATCCCATTCTCTGAAGAAATACCAGATGACCTTAAAATGTGCTATCTCGACAGAGCATGGAGAAGAAAGACACACAGGCATAGTTTCCAAGTGGCACAAAAGTTATCAATTATAGAGCGTTTAGTGATATCAACATGTATCTCCTCAATGACAAAATACGTGTTTTTCTGTTTTCAAGGAGCATGCTGAAATCCAGTGGGAAAAGGGATTACAGCTTCCTTCCTGCAACTACGGCAAGTCATGACTACAGAAAGGAAATCAGAGTCAACTGGGGAGGGGACAGCTACTGGAACACTGAAAACGCAGATTCCTGGAAAAGAGCACAAACATACTAGTAAGGGACGTTTCCAAATGACTGACACATACGACAGTGAACACATTTCTGTGAGACACTCAAGCACAGTATCTACACCTCTAGTGGAAAAGCTGTAGCATCATGTATGAAACCACACACAGCATTTTCCATCCTCTAAAAACAATCTGTCAGATATGAATGTAACCGAGCCTAATTTTCCAGGTATCTCCATCCATATCGTATGCCTAACTCCAGTGAGGACACATTGTAAGATGGTGTTCCTACATGATTTCAGCTGGCAGCATGGGGATAGCACAGCTTGTGCATACTGTGGTCTTGCTTCTACCAAAAGAGCAACCCTCCCCGCTCCTTAAACTCTGTCATTAAAAATACAGGAGTTGCAATATTTAGATGATGGCTATTCTGACTGCGTTTCTGTGTACTGAACACATGGTGCCCGTTGGAACTCTTGAGAAGTGAGATCCTTTTAATTACTAGAAAGCTTTCAATCACCATCTTTAAATCTCTTAGGAGTAGGTAAACGAGTACTTCATGTCACTTGGTGTCTGATTTGTCCTTGGGGATAAACTGTGGGTTGCTTGGGAGAAACTATTTGAATATATATATATTTTCCCCATAAAGGGGAGTTTTGAGTTTTGTATTTAGGGAGTCTGAGGAAAACACAAGCCCTTCATTATTTAGAAATGTAAGAATAAGAGGGAGAAACAAACAGACAGTGAAGGTCACAGCACAACCATTCATTCACCTGCGAACACACTGACTTTACACTTTACAGGGATTCACAACCTCAAATATATTTCAATGTATATTTTTTATAAATAGCAGACGATTTCATTTTCCTGGTTACTATTTTCCTCTTTTTCCACAGATTTTACCTTTTTCCTAATCTAAAATTTGGAAAATCACCCAGAACCGTGCCTGACACATGGTACATGATGAACAAATGAGCCCGTTTCCCTCCTGCCGCCCGCATCTCCCCTCCCTTCTCAAATGTCCTTCCAGGTCTGGTCAGCGTGGACCTGACATAAGGCCCTCATTTTAACTTATGGTTTGTACATTCTTTCTCATTCTATCATTCTACCTTCTTCTTTCTCTCCTCTGGTGATGTTACAGAAAGCTTAGCAAAACACAGCTAAAATCATAGTTGGAGAAATAATTTTGGATGGGAAATGGTTCTGAGTTGGAAAAAAAAATTTTAAATGCAATTGAATGGCAAGAATTGTACAAATGAAATCACAGATTTATGGGCCGTTTTCAAGCCTGTTATTTGGTACCAACCAGTGACAGTAAAATAAAATAGATACATAAATCAGTGCGTCTATGAGTCAAGACATGGAAGTGAAATGTATTAGATCAGTGTTATAAAATGTGTAGCAGGGCAAGAGACAAATATGTTTTGTGTGGGAACATTTCCAAAAGAAAAATATCCTTCTACTAACCTTATGAGTAACTATATGACCTTGTGTCGCCCTATTTTAAGTAAGTAAAATAATTGTTCCTGACCTTACACACACTAAAGCTATAATTGGATTGCCGTTGTGCAGAAATCCATAAATTGAGTCAATGTGAACCTTCCAAACGAGGTAAGTAAATTGTGCATTGACGTCAGTGGAAAACAAAAGGTCGGCCAGGCTGAGACACAATCGTTTCTCATTCACAAGGCCAGCGCGTGCCTTCCCTCCCCAGTGTTGTTAAAGGCGCAGGTGGGAACCTTTCAGAACTTACTGCTGGCTCCTGTTGTGGTGGTCTCCTCGGTGATGGGCTTCCCACAGCCCTGTGCTGTGCAGGCCCTCACGTAGAACTTGTACTTGGTCGTGGCACTGAGGTTCGAGAGACGCCAGCTGGGCTTGGATGGGGTGGTAATGTTGATGTCATTTAGTTCTCCGATCTCATCAGTGTCATTTACTAAAGAAACAAAGAGCAATGCCTCACACGCAGAGTCTTCACAAGTCGAGTTACACTGCCCTTGTTTTTGCTTCTATGTATGCTGGAGGCATGCAAAGCACTATCCTAACTATTCACAGCCATCAGCTCATTTAATTCTATGAGGCTGATGTAATTATGACCATAGCACACACGGGGAAACTGAGGTTCAATACAAGCAAACATCCTGCCTAGATCGAGAGCTGGTAGTTGGCCCACGGTGTTTTATAGATAAATGTTAAGGACTTGTGTTCTGGTACCCATTAGCGTGTTGTTTTTCTTCTGAAACAGAGCTTGGTAAACCTTCTGGAAAAGGACTAGATTGTAAATATCTTAGCCTCTGTGGCCCGTGCAGTCTCTGTCGCCACGACTCAACTTGGCCACCGCAGTGAGAAACAGCTATGGATGAATGTAAACAGATGGACACAGCCGTGTTCCAATAAAATTGTCTTTATAAAAATAGGTAGCGGGCTGGGTGTGCCTCCACGCCAGCTATGGCCCCTGTGCTACAAGGGAGTACGCCGGCCTACAAGCCACCATCACAGGCTCACAGCCACGTCCTCACCCAAGATGGAGATCTTACCAGGTGCCTCCAGCTTGCATCCCCACTTACTTATCTGGTACTGTAATACGTAGCCCGTTAAGTTTCCATTCAGCTTCTTTGGGAGGCCCCAGGACAAAGTGGCGGCATCTTTATCGACTTGGACGACCTTGAGAAAAGTTGGCTGTTCAGGTACTAGAAAACACAAGACCAAGGACAGACACTCATAAATCGGTACATTTACACAAAGGCCCACTAGCTACCGGTTTTCATAGACGCTGAGACGCTAACTCATGAAGTTCACAGCAACGATGGATGAGGGAAGACAGCTGGACTCGGCCACCGAAAGCCCCGTGTCGGCGCCGCCCCCGGTCGGCACTCACCTCCCTCTGGCGTTTGGAACGTGTAGGGCTCACTCTCGGGCCCAGCCCCTTTGGAGTTATAGGCGAAGATGCTTAAGTGGAATTCGCTGAAGGCGTCTAGCGAAGGAACCATGCCATAGTTCCTCTGTCCTGAAAACCTCAGGGTGTTCACTCGTTTGGGGTGTGCTCTTCCGTCCAGCAGGCTTTTCGTTTTCCACCAATTTACCTGCAGTGAAAACAGGACCCTGTCACCTATCAGCCACAGTGACGGGTTCTCTCTCGTCTGCTTCTGAAATCCGTTCCTATTTGGAGGAAAGCTATTAATTCAACAAGAAGAAGAAGAAAATCTACGACACAAACCTGGTATCCTTTCAGACGCCCGTGGACTCTGTCCTTCGGAATTGCTGACCAGGTCACTTTGACCACCGTGCTGTTTATGACGTCCACCCCCTGGATCCTCGGAGCGGCGTCCGGATCTGCGGAGCACACAGAACGATTAGCTTCCCACAAACTCCAAGCGTGATTATTAGCGTGCTTTGCAAAGGCTGAGTTTTCATACGGTTTAACCTGCGGAGAGCACGTCTGCGAGGTCAGTTCCAAATGGAACCAAGAGCGTCTCATTCCCAGAGGAAGTCCTCAGCCCATGTGGGTTTCCTGGAAGACAGCCTGCACTGCTCTGAGCTACGCCGCTCTCCACGCGGACACGCGTGGGAATGAAACCTGAATTATTCTGTGGGCTCGCTGCCTCTGGAAGCAGGTGAGCTAGGCCAAAACCGCAACCAAAAGTACTTGGGAATCTACTATTACTGCTGCTACTCCCAGCAGCTGCCGGAACGGCACACGTGGTACCTGTCAGGCCTGGTTCTAAAGGCCTGGGCTGGGCTGGCTCGCAAGGCCCTTAGACAACCTGTAGAGTGGGCCTCGGCCCCATTCCACAGGGGAGCGAACGGCGGAGGGATAAACCAATGCAGAGCCACCAAGACTAGTGTCTCAGGTCGGTGACGTGTCCTGTGTAGTTATTTGGGTGGCAGAGTTTAGACAACAGGTGAACCAGGAATTAGTCATTTCACACTCCACCTTCTATTCTTGGGTCCAATCATGCCTTTGGACACGGGAAGAAGGATGGAAATAAGCCCCCATGTGCGTGATCTGGGACGCCACGCGCTCCCTTCTCTAATGATCTATTTGGAGCAGTTATTATGATGAAAGTATTTAAGAATATGGTTTCACCAGCATCTCAGAACTCCGTGTGTGTGTAATTCTGTAACAAATCTGGCTCTGTCTCGCCTCTGTTAGGAAGACCACAGACATACAGCCGGAGCCAGGCGAGGCAGCAGGGGCCGTTGGGGGGTCTCTGACACGTGGGGGCAAATGTAACTGGAAACCTGATTACTCTAGGGCTTTGATGTTCAATATAGAAACAGCTTTGTTGGGAAATTAAAGTAAACCTCTCCACATACTTCCTCACCACTCTATACTGATCAACCTCCTGCAGCCGACCCTGATGCAGGAGCCCTGAGTGACATTTCTTTGTGTCGCCCACAGCGGGCCCCTCCTCTTTGCTCAAGGACAGAAGTGTGAGCTGCTGGAGACGCTGTGCTGAGTGGCCACTTACAGTCCTCCCCCGAGAAGAGAATCACTGGCTGGGGCTCGGGGCCGGCGCCCAGGCTGTTGGTGGCCTGGACTTGAACTTCGTATGGAGCGTAGACCGTGGGCGTCATCACGCGCAGGGTGTGGTTTGTGACGGTTTCTTCTTCCCACTCCACCGAGGCTCCCTGGGGCTTCCAGGTCACTCTGTACTCCAGTCCTGGTCCGTTCTGCTCCATGGACTTCAAAGGCTGAAAGAGGAGGCAAGACTCAGCCGGGCGATCCCGGATGCGTGAGCTCAGAGGCGGTCAAGCCACCCTAACTGGCTAAGGAGCGCCGCAATGGAGGGTCATTTCTTGGAAGATCTGAAATCCCCTCTTTGGTCTGGAAATAGTTGTGAACATTTTTGTCATTCTCTTTTCAAGTTTGAAAGTCCTTCAGCCCCACCACATAGTAAGCGCCCCACAGGTTAGATGCCTGTATTACACCCTTGTGGTTAAGTCTAACTTTTCATATGAAAGAATTTACAAAGGAATTCCACACAGGATTTTGGTTCTTGTTTACACTTTCCTCTAGATTCTACGTTTTCTCCCAAAGAACTGGCCACCCCGAGGACGTGGCCGTGAGTTCCGTGGTTGTGAATGGGGTCCCCCATGATTTTAATCAGAACTCTCCTGCACCCGACTCACTCCAGGAAAGAGAGACACAGTACATCTTCATTTTTAGAGAAGATGCATGTTTATACGTGAATGCTCAGATGGAGCTCCTGTCTAATAATTTCCCAGCTCCCTGACCATTCTGTTTCAGTTCCTTTAAGAGAATATAACCCCCTCCACACATGTGCACACACTTCACTTAACTATACAGGGAAATTTAGTGGAGAGATTTCTACTATAGGAAATTGGTTATTTCCACTCTCAGTTTTAATTGAGCAATACTTTAATTAAAAAAACATTAATATGATATCAGGCATTTTATTAATTTCACAAAAATGGGAATAAGCATTTAAATGACATCAGTTATATGAAATACATTAAACATGTGATTTTAGTCTGAGACTGTAAGGTTCACTTCTATAGGCAATGATTTTGTCTGTGTATGTGAGTGGTTCAGTGTTCTTAGGGAATTTGCAATGGCTCTTGAATCAATCTAATTTATTAAAGTACTAATCAGAGGCATTGGTTGGAGCGGAAAGCACAGTGTGGTGACACAAGCAAAATCATTTCCAGCTTAGGTTTATTCCAAGGTGAACACCTGTATTAGCTAGGAGAAAAAAAGAATCAAAGCGAAACAAAAGCCTTCTGAGGTTCCCACAGTCATGGGCTATACTCGTGCTCACGGGAAGTTTTGTCCTCAGGTGTTTTTCTCTGAGATGAATGTAAATGCCCCAGTGGCTTCAGCACCCTGGGCAACCAGGCCACACAAGCTCTTAGCTCCAGACTATACTCAGCAATAACACCTTGAAGAAAAAGCTTATCTGAGTGTCGCCTGAATGTCGTGGAGCCTGGACTCCTGGAATCGAGCAGAAATATTCGGTTTGTCTTTCAGACAATGGACAACAGAACCTCAGCAAATGGCCAGACAGGCCCCCGACACAGGCAGAAGACCAGAGGAGGCGAGCACCGCCTGTCCCATTGGGAGGCTGGCCGAGCATGGAGGCTCTAGAAAAGAGGCTCTTAATTTGGGGTCTAGGATTTCTAGACACGTCCATGGATGTCCTCCAAGAGACCTGAGAAGTCCACGAAAGTGTTAGCAGAACTTCCCATGTTGACTGTTTTAGAAAAAGAGCCTATAATCCTATCATAGTTTCAAAGAGATCTAGGAACAAAGCAAGGTTATAACGACTGATCTAGAAACTGGGCAGACTGCCACACCGCCTAATTCCATGTTAAAGCAGGATGATTGTCTTCTAATGCTTGCAGCAGAAATAATAAAACCCAGGTCCTCTAGGAGTGAAATCATGTGACTCTGATCATATGGCCAGGTAATTAAAGAAGTGCCTGTTAGCCAAACATGAATGGGTTTGGGTTTTTTGTTTGTTTTTGTGTTTTTCTTTTGTAGGTGTTGTGTGAAATTAGAAATTTGCTATTTGAAACTCAACTTTAACATAAATATACTTATGCTTAAGAACAAAGGGAAATGTCAAACAAAAACCATCCTGATACAATTATTTAACTCATCAGGTTGCAGTGGGCTCTCAATGTCTGTTTCAAGGCACAGGACACAGCATTTTTAACACTCACCCATTATGTGAAAAGTGAGTTTTAGTAGATAATGCTAACTAAAATGACTAGTTCTATCACGTTACGTTTTTCACATAATGATACTTTAAAAAAAATTGTGTCTTTACTATTTAACGTGACTAATTTATAAAGATAATTCATATACAGTGGAACATGAACTAAATAAGATAAACCAAAACTCACTTTTGACTGTAACATAAGATTCGGCTCAGTTAGTAAGTGCACAGAGCTCAATAGCATACGAGGCTCTGCACCTTGTTTTCCTTTGTAGAATTTTTTTATTAAGTGACATATTACTTTATTTCCAATGTATTTGCTTACTGGCTATCCCTCCAACTAGAATACATATTCCAGGACAGCGAGACTTCATGTATTTATTGTTTTCGTGCCCTACATAAGCCAAGGAACTTACAATACATTACTTTTAATTGCATCATGTTTGATGCTTATACCAAAGTCATAAAGCGAAAACTGGGGACATCTAAGCTGTTCCGAGGGCTCTTCTGAGTTTTAACTCTTTGGTGAAAGATCAACTTTTTTAGACAAATTTCTTCCCTGAGATCATTATGTGGGAGACAGGAATTTGTTTGTAAGTCAGTCTCTGGAGGGGGTCTGGCCACTCATTTGGTGTCTGCTTGTCTACCTGGAAAGGTCTGGCATTTTCCACCTGTCCACAGGACACTCCAAGCTCAAAAAACCACCACTGAGTAAATGTTCTTGAACTTCACTGGGGGTGCCTCTAATGATTAGGCCTCTGGTATTTCAAAATAATAAACACAACAGAACATAACACAGATGCAACTGTCAGTGTATTCCAAATTGCAGACTCCTTCCATCCTGCAGTCAATCACTTACTAAACTACATGTCATTTGCTCTTCAAATTATAAGCACTTGCTTGGTGTAAACCCATGATCACAAGGCGAGGGCACTAGTGATCAGCCTTGCCTTTCTTAGCGGGGAATAAAGAGTGACTTGCGAGTAAGAGGAGCAGGGAGAAGGTCCGAAGACGCCTGCCCTCTTTTCATGACTCAGCACGTGGCACCTGGTGACGTCATTAAGTTCTGGCCCAGCGTCTGTGTCTGACACCATGAGCTGGGACAGTGCCCACGGGAGTGCTGAGGGTGACGGGGGAGTGTGAGTGGAGCACGGCACTTCTCTGAGGAGCTGACCTGCTAATGACAGTGTCATTGTTATCTATGCAGTTACCGCATCTCACTTATGGAAATGTCTGTGGTACTTAAAAGACGATAAGACGGAGATACTCGAAAAGAGTAAAATACTGACATAATTGCAGTCTATAAGTTAAGTAATTAGCAAGAAATGTGGTAGCAACGACGTATGACCACAAATTCAAGGAAAGAATAATATTCTTGAATGTATTTGGTTTCTGTGTATTATCATTTCTTTTTTCAAATTTTACACTTGTAAAAGCTAATTTCACTGAAATGGGAATAAAGGGTTAGTGTTGATATAAAAATATTAACTGTTTTGCAGGTATGGGCCATGTGATCAGGTAACGAGGGGAAAAATCAAAGCAAACTTCATACGTCTAAAAGTCTCTCAAAAATCTTACCAGGAATGAGGTGTGGAAATAAATTAGTATATTCCAGCATACATTCAAAAACATTCTATTCTTACGTAAAATTCAGTTAATTCAATGTTGGAGGTTTATTATTAATCAGAAATCTATTTTCCAGTTAAAATGCTTGTTCATGAACTAAGCCCAAGAAGTAGAGAGGGAAAAAAAAGTTATCCAGTTACAGGAGAAATTTAGGATAACACACACACAAAATTAAGGTTATCTGGGCAGATATACCATTTTATGCCAAATTTAAAGAGGAAAATCCATTTAATAACTTTTAAGAGGTATGTTAAGGGGGAAAGTAGCATTTGAAGCCCAAGGGGTCCATGTTTGCATCCTAGCTCTGTGGGTTTCTACTGGGGACGGGCAGGACTGCCAGCCCCCGGGACCTCAGCCGCTGGATCTAACAAGGTGTCAATGAAGTTTCCTGGACAAGGTTGTCCTTGGAATTAGAAGCAAGTGTACAAAGTGCCAATGGTGGGACTATTATTTGGGAGTCACTCTTTTGATATACACAATATTTATTAGATTATATACTAAATTTGAAAGGGAGAAAATTTATATAGTGATAATAAAAATATTAGGAATCTGAAACTTCTGGTAATTGATTATAATTAAATCAACATGCATAATCTTTTTAAAATTATTTACTGCTATAAAACTCAGTTTCACCACATTCTAAGCCCAGCGATCTTCAAAATACACAAATAAAACATTTATAAAATGTAACAAAATATAAAAGTCTTATCTCTTTGTTCTTAAAAATATAAAGAACATTTTCTATTATACTTAGCATGCAGACTGAAAAGAAGAAACACAAGGAAACACGTAACACATTGAAGAATACACACCTCCCATTTTATAATCATTTCCTTGGGTTGAGAGGCTTGGACCCTTATGTTTTGTGGGTTCTTGTCTGGAGCTGAAAAATTACAAGCATTAAAATTATTTTTTTCCCATTGGATGGTCCACAGGAAAATCATCATATTGTCTCTGCATCCCCACAAAAAATATTTAAATAACCTCAATACATGTATTAATTTCTATCAAGCTCGGCTCCTAAAAAGATTGAAGGCAGCTCTCCCTCTCTCTCCCCAGGCGTTATTGAGATATAATTGACCTATCACAGTGTGTAAGTTTAAGGTGTACAATGTAATGATTTGATATACGTATATATACAAATATGTACATACATTTCATATTTATATGCATATATTGCAAAGTGATTGCCACCATAAGATTAGTTAACACATCCATGCTCTCTCATAAGGCAGTGTTAAATGTATATTTTATTTTATATTTTATTTTATATTATATTATATTTTATTTAAAGGAGTAGTGTTCTTGGACTGATATAATTATTCAATGGAGAGTAGATGGTTTACTTTATATATCTTAATTTTAAAACTGCTCTTAATATTTTTAAACCTGTTTTACTTTTTCCATCATAATTATTGTTGGAAACGTTATGTTGTGAATAACTGTCTCTAAGCTAATAAAACTAAACCTCAGGTATTAACATCAACAGCCAAGTTTAGGGACAAGAAATAGGGAACAGCAGGTAATGTGCCCGTGGAATATATGCAGATGGGTCCACTTTATTGGAAAGGGCTAAGTGGGGGCTTAGTTCCAAGTTCAACTCAGAGCATGTAAGTATCTGATTCAGCTGTTACCTCTACTTGCTTCTTTTCAGTCCCCGAAGGGACTGACGTCCTGGCGTGTGCGTTCCCTGGGAAGCAATACATGTTGTGAGTACACGGGTGGCCGTGCCCACTCGGGAACACGTTTTAGCACCATTATTCTCAGGATTTAAGCAAAGTGTCTTTGGAATTTAGATAGACATAGAGCTACAAAAAAAAAATAATACACTAGATGCCTAAAATGAACGATGTCAGATACACTGAAAATTTAACAAGATGCCTATAACGGGTCAGAAGTTTTATTTCAGAGAAAGTTGAATCCTTAACTTCCCTCCTGTATTTTGAACTTCAACGTAGAACCTGCTTTGTATCGATTTGCACATGCTATTTAGTTATCAGAAGTTACCCGGAGTAGTGTCTGCCGTGTGCCTCCCACTGACAGTTATTCAGTACTTAGGAGACGGGTGGAATATGAATATTTTGTGAGTTCTCAGTTTACAGAATTTTTCAAGCTCTGGACTGGGAAGGATCTGACATCCCAGACCCCTCTAGCAATCTTGGTTTTTCTTTTTAGATATTCAAAGACGGGCCAAATGACACGTGTTGGCAGAAGCCCGCCGAGAAGCCACTCACCCGCGGGGGGTGTCTCATGGCGCTCGGACGGGCTGCTGGGCCGGCTCCTCCCGACCTCGTTCACGGCGACGACCCTGAACCGGTAGGTCACGTACGGAGCCAAGGGTAACAGGACCGAGGTCTGCGCGCCCTGGACTCGCCTCAGCTGCTCCCAGCGTCCGGGCTCCTCCCTGTTGCCTTCGAACTCCACCAGGTACTCTGGCAGCAGACACGGAAAGCGGCTAGAGCCCGCTGGGGACACGCAACTTAGCCCAAGATTTACACCCACGGGAAAGGGCCACAGGGTAAGAAGCACCGCCGGCGACAGTGCCCTTCAGGGGGCCCGTGCCCCTGGGTGCACGCGACACGCCCGTCCCAGGGCGCCCCTACCGCTGATGTCGCTGTTGTGGCTGTCCCCCGCGTCCCACGTCAGCCGGACGCTCCGGTCCTGTTTTTCAGACAAGCGCAGGTGCTTCGGTGGGTCCGGGACATCTGGTCACAGGAAAGGGGAGCTGAGCGCAGTGCCAGGCATGGCCTTTGTGCCAGGCGCGGGGCGACCCCCCCCCCGCGTCCGCTGGCCCCGGTGTCCACGCGTCTCGGCCCTCGCGTTCTGGTCCATGCGCGGACTCCCCCACATCTGTTCCCTGCTGGGGGTCACAGCCACCACCCGCCAGGCCTCCAGGGCCGCGCCGGCCACACATCGGCATTCTTGGGGGGCCCTTCTGGCCCCGTCTCTGGGTCTGGGCTCTGACCAAGAGCAGGGAGGCCGCTTGTGCCGGAAGAGGTAAGGTTGGCCCTGGAAAATGTCACGGCCCAAACCAGGAGACTGAGCTGGGGGTGACAGACTTTAAGAGTGTTGATGCACACGGCCATTTACGGTGCTTTACAGTAAAAGCAACAGAAAAAAGACATCTTATCCCTCATGACTCCTCCTCCAAAATGTGGCTGCAATTCTCCCACGCCCTCGCGGACATGCGTCTCTTCTCCGAGGAGACAGTGACAGTCACGTAGTTGGCCTTCCCACGGCTCCGTCCTCCTCCAAGAGAGCAGCCTCTGACCCCCCACCCCCACCCCTGGTGTCTGTCAACGGCTGAACATTTATACTGTCAAAAAAACGTGTTTTCAATTCAGAAGAGAACATGTTCATTTTTAGAACGTGTCGGTGCCTTAAATCAAAAGTTATCAGCAGGTTTCCAGGCCCTGCGCTCAGGGAACTGACCCTCCCAGCACGCACTAAGCGCCCTCGTTTCGAAGTCCCTGAAGCCATGCCTGCAGCCTGCCACACGTCACAGCAAAACCCGCTCTCGGAGAATTCTACGGAGCTACAATGGCCCGGTGCTGCTGACACTTAGAAGGAAGATTCTCCTAAAGCAGCGGTTCTCAAACCTGTGGGTCGCGACCCTTTGGGGATCGAACGACCCTTTCACAGGGGTCGCCTAAGACCATCGGAAAACAAAAAGATATTTACATTACGATGCATAACAGTAGCAAAATTACAGTGATAGAGTAGCAACAAACATAATTTTATGGTTGGGGGTCACTACAACACGAGGAACTGTATTAAGGGGTCGCACGGCATTAGGAAGGTTGAGAACCGCTGTCTTAAAGGACGTTGAGGACTTTGGAAAGTTTGGGTTGAAATGGATCAAATATATGCTTTTAAAAATTGTTCTCCAGGAAAAAGAGGCTTTTAGAAGCTATGCATGGATCTGTCCCTTGTTACTGTTAGTTACAGGGACATGACTCTTATAGCCTGAGACTGACCTAAAAAATTGGAGCGTAAACTCCAAGAAGTGGTTAAGAAAATGCAGCCATCTCAGAGAGTGTGTTTTATTTTCCCTTTATTCTACTAATAACTGGTAGTTCTTTCATATATAAACAGTACATACAAGCATGGCCAGTATGTATTCAAAATGATCACAGCTTAATGGTTCTGGAAAATGGCAGCCTAATTAAGAGACTGAAACATTACACTTTACGGGGAAATTCAGGTGGCATGTGCCACGTGACGGGAACCCCATCGCTCGTCGGCCGCTGCTGCTCAGAAGACCTCAGACGACGCCCACGGGTCCCACCCGTGTCCCCATACTGGGCGCCTGGGAGAAAGTCCACTTCACCTGGACCTACTTAATGTGCTGAATTACGACTGGGGTGATTACTAGAGGCCCGAGCCTGTCTGCTTGTCATCCTGTGAAGTAGCCGGAATTCCTGCGGCCAAACATCTCATCAAACGGAACAATTCCGCCGAAGGAAACCCATACCTTCTGCCACCTGGGAACAGCTTTTTCTCTTTCGTCTTCCTCCTCCTCCTCCTCATTCTATTATTACTATTATTATTATTATTATCATTATTATTAGGGAAAACCCCACATGGCGTCACTTGTTTCCCCTGAGACATGGCAGCCTTGCTCCCGGGAAGCGCTCCAGCTCGCTCGCCCTCACCGCTGCCTCCAGACAGACCGAGTTCCCTTCCCTCAGTACACCCCGCCATTCGCCACCCACACAGGCACCCCAGCAACCAGAGCCTGTTGATGCTAATGATTAATCCAGGCATCTGAGCAAGGACTTTAGGCAAAACCAAGCACTTTTGAGGCATATCAGCAAACTACGGGACAGACTGAGCAGAATTCTAAGAGAAAACCGTAAAAATGTCTGTATCAGTCACACAATTTCAGACAGTTCAGAGTTTTCAGTAAAGTGTCTTTTAAAGACATGGCAGGATATCCGGGTGGGGGAGGCAGCCGTTACTAGAATCCCACTGGAGAGAGTGGTGTGGGGAGGGTCTCCGGGACGGTGATGCTGGGACAAAGCCAGCCTGGGGATGGGGGGCTGAACAAAGCTTGGGGGTGGGCGGACCGGATGCTGTCCGTGTGGGTCAGGTTTCCAGAGCAGAGCGCTGGGGGTTAGTCCAGGAGGGAGACTGGACAGACACCCCGCAGATGGCCCAGGGGCCTTAAACACGGTGACGTCAGGGGACACTGCTCTGACTGCCCAGTGAGGGGTGCACACTCTTTCTAATTAGCATCGTCACTTGAGAAATACATGNAACTACGGGACAGACTGAGCAGAATTCTAAGAGAAAACCGTAAAAATGTCTGTATCAGTCACACAATTTCAGACAGTTCAGAGTTTTCAGTAAAGCGTCTTTTAAAGACATGGCAGGATATCCGGGTGGGGGAGGCAGCCGTTACTAGAATCCCACTGGAGAGAGCGGTGTGGGGAGGGTCTCCGGGACGGTGATGCTGGGACAAAGCCAGCCTGGGGATGGGGGGCACACTCCCGCCCTCTGCTGCCGGGGCTCCCACCTGCTGAACAAAGCTTGGGGGTGGGCAGACCGGATGCTGTCCGTGTGGGTCAGGTTTCCAGAGCAGAGAGCTGGGGGTTAGTCCAGGAGGGAGACTGGACAGACACCCCGCAGATGGCCCAGGGGCCTTAAACACGGTGACGTCAGGGGACACTGCTCTGCCTGCCCAGTGAGAGGTGCACACTCTTTCTAATCAGCATTGTCACTTGAGAAATACATGAAAGGCGTCCCCTTGCAGAGCCCTGCCACCCTCCCTCTGGTTTAGAGCATGACCCCCAGGGACCCCCCCGGCCCCTGCATGCCAGCTGTCCCCACCCTGAGCCCCACTTCTCTGCACACCGGGAAGGGCAGCTGCTGCGCTCGGGGACTCAGGCAAGCTTCAGGTGTCGTGGCCGAGACACCACCTGCCTCCCACTGTTACTGGTGACGCTACCCACGGAGGGAGGGAATGGAGTTGTCATTAACTTGGGCCGAAAAGGAGAAAGTATCGAAAGTGGGGTTACTATCTAACTGAAAAGTTCAAATAGTAAGTTATTTGCAGGCGCTTAAGTGTGTGAGAAAGATGGGGTTTCATCAGCAATGGAAAGGGGGTCTCATCAGCGGGCGCACTCACCAAGGACGGTCACTTGGGTGACATTGGTGATACTGTCGAGCTCAGTCTGCGCTGAGCAGGCGTAAGTGCCCTGGTCCCCCAGAGTGACAGCGGATATGGTCAGGTTCGCTCCGTCGATAGAGACCCTACAGGGAGAAGCACGGTACGTGAGGAAGGTGAGACAGCACACACAGGAGGATCGTAATCTTTCTAAAATACACATTCCCCAGCGAAAGCCATCTAAGGAAGAGGGAAAAAAATCTTCACGTGAGGCAGGTTTTCCTGGAGAATGCCACCAGTGGAAACTGGATACTGCATTCCTCACGCCCACCGCGTCCACATAGCATGAAGTGGACCGGGTTTGTTGGTGTTGGCTTTAATGACCAAATCCAACCACGTGCAGTCCGAGCCCAGGGATGGACGTGTCACCTGGTGAGTCTGGAGACCATTCCGGCCTTCTAACAGCTCCGATCCAGTCAAACAATTCCTACTCAAACAGATGTTTCGGGAACCCCCACACAGCACAGGAGGGCTGCTGCTTCCACAGGCAGAGTTCTGGGCCCCCCCCCCGTTCTAGGAGCCGGGGTGCGTGAGCTGGAGCCCCAACCTGCCAGTGTCACTTCCCCTCGGCCTCCAGCCCAAGCAGGAGGCGCGTCCGTATCTGCGAAGGGTCACGTGGGGTTTATCTGAACAGCAGGTGGCAGACCTGAGCTTCTTTCTGCAGACAGTAGCTTTTTGTCATTTGTTCTGTTTTTTGCCAACTTTTAATCGAGTTCAGTACATGAACATTTTTATATAAATTATACCTTCTGCCCTCCCTAGGTAATGTTAAGGTAACCACACACGGGTTTTTCTAATACAGTTCCGTTAACTTTGAGATATATTCACCGCAGGTTGGTGTTCAGTTGGAGTAAACACTCTCATCCCGTGGGAAGGACGGGAGAGGAACCCTTGCATAATTGAGGTTTTTAATGTAAAACTCCTTTACAGTGCTGAGAAGTTCGAGCTATCAGAAACCACTTGAATCCGCAGTGAAATCTAACCCGGACCTGCCCCGTGAGTGTAGACGAAGCGGCTTGTCCCCACAGTGACCCTGAGCAGTTGCCGATGACACTGCCCAGTCCTGCTTGTCACGTCTCACTGCAGCTCTAAGCACGATGGCTTTGTCCCCAGTTCACGGCAGCTGTGTGTCACTGGGCACAACATCGGGGTGTGGCATGCGCAGACGACCAGAGAAACGTGTACTTCTCAGGCTGCTGCTGACACCGCCGGCCACGCGGGGCTCCCTGCTGGGTGAGCAGCAGCCAGTGCTCGTGGGGACATTTCAGCGCCCCCACTCCCGTCCCTCAGGCCCTCTGCTTGAACACATCGCGTCAGTTCCTGGTCTGTCAGGAAGGGACCCTCCACGCTTATGGCCTCCGCCTTCTCATTCTGTACCCACTTCAGGGAGGTCCTCCACGTGTGCGCNGAAACCACAACAAAATTAAACATTTGAGTTAGAAAAAAAGTTCCATGAACATGAAAATTATCATATTTTCCGTAGAAAACTAATACTATTGCTTTTAGAGCACGTAAAAATGAAGAAAATGTGATTACAGCTGTCATAGTGACTATAGTTAACAATACTGTATTATACAGAGGGTGCCAAAAAAGTGTAAACACATTTTTAAGAAAGGAAAAAACTGTATTAAAAGTGCAATACTCAATACATAACGATAACAAAAGATGAATACAAGTCATGTGTATACATTTTTTTGGCACCCCTGGTATTTTTGAAGGCTGCTAGAAAGTAGATCTTAAAAGATCTCATCACAAGAAAAAAAAATTGCATACGTGTGGTGGTGGATGGTAACTAGACATATCGTGATCATGTCACAAGATCTACGATCATTATGTTGTACACTTGAAACTAATACATTACATGTCAATTATATTCAATAAAAATAATAAAATAAAGGCTATTACATCATGATTACGTTTCCCTAAATCTTCATGCATAAAAAAACCAAGACTTCTATTTCTCCTCTCATCCTACAAATTGCATTAATTTTTTGGTGTCTGCCTTAAGATCTATGACTGTTAGAGCTGAACAGGGCCTGAAGGTGCCACCTGATCCCACCTGTCACCTGCAGAGAGAAGTGAGCTCAAGAGAAAAGAATGGTTAAAACGAAAAATTCTGAGAAAAAAACACCATCGTTAAATCCCATTTTTTCATCTATTATCGTAAGATATATGGTAACTGATGAAAATTACATATGTTGAAAGTTTACTCATCTTGTCATAATTGTAAATAAAAAAATATTTATATTATGCTGCTGAAAACTGAGATGCAAATGTCTGACCATTTAGAACACAATAAGCAAGATAATTAGATTTTATCACTAGATGGAAAACAAAATAAAACAGGGCATTTGGTACCCATAAAACTTACAACACAGAGGTTATTTTCTTATTACTAGATTCCTATTAAATATCTATATTATAAATAAATTTAAAAAAGGTACTTCCATCACACTTGGATTTAATTGCAACTTTTTAGAAATAGACTTGTTATTTGAAAATGAAGCTTTCTTAAGGACATCAATGACTGAATTGCGTTTGAATTCATGACCTTTTAAAAGGCAAAATCAGTATGGGCATGTAAGTATGTATAAATACTTGTTACCCTTACTAACAATTCAAAAGTATTAAATGATTCAAAATAAAGATTGTTGGAGGGAATTTATTTTTAAATAATCAGTTCAAATGTGATTGTGGTTATATTCTGATTTCCGGATTTACGTTTTAGATGCCATTTTAATATATATATATTTAAAACACACTTTATATATATTGATATTAACTTATAGGTTTAATAGACTATTATATAATATAGAAATGTATCTTATGTATTCTCTGTATTAATTTTTTAGATTTAAATGTTTTATTATTAAATATGCAATCCTCATATTAGGGGCAGCGGGGAAGGATGGTCGTGGCTGGTGGGGACAGCCTGGCTGTCCTGCGTATCCATATGATGGGATTTAAAAATGCAGTGCGTTTCCATAGTTAGGGTGCTGTGGTTTGAGTTCCAGCGTTGGGCTGCATTAGGAGCGAGAANGACTATTACACATTACGATAGGAGATTTTCCTTATACATATTTTCCCCTCTGAGAATCAGAAATGAATATATTTTTAAACCTGGCTGTGAGCTCCGGGGAGCAGACCGCGTCTGATGCTGTGCACCGTGTCCGCAGTGCCTGAAAAGCAGCTGTCACAGAGGTAGCAGTCAGTCATACTTCTTGGAGGGACTGAGACACACTTATGTCGGGGGGCATTTTACTCCCAGAAGGTCCCTGCGGTGGGCAGAATAACTGCCTTTAAACGATGCCCGCACTCTAATCTCTACCACTTGTTAATGTGTCACCTTATGTGGCAAAAGGACTTGACAGATGTGATTACAGTGAAGGACCCTGAGGTGGGGACTACCCCAGATTATCCAATTATCCAAGCGGGCCGAGGGTAACTACAGGCTCCTTACCATCCAGGAGCCCTTCCGGCTGCAGCCAGCCAAGGGCGGTGTGGCAAGGGGAGAAGATGGAAGGCAGGCAGAGGGCAGAGGGCTGCGGGCCAGCACTTTTAGTTGAAATGACATTACAAGATTACTAACCAACCCATTTCCATTTTCCTTATTGTGCTCCATTATGCAAAATAGTGACCACACTAAGTTTTGGGTTGCCAAAAACATTGACTATTACACATTACGATAGGAGATTTTCCTTATACATATTTTCCCCTCTGAGAATCAGAAATGAATATATTTTTAAACCTGGCTGTGAGCTCCTGGGAGCAGACCGCGTCTGATGCTGTGCACCGTGTCCGCAGTGCCTGAAAAGCAGCTGCCACAGAGGTGGCAGTCAGTCATACTTCTTGGAGGGACTGAGACACACTGATGTCGGGGGGCATTTTACTCCCGGAAGGTCCCTGCGGTGGGCAGAATAACTGCCTTTAAACGATGCCCGCTCTCTAATCTCTACCACTTGTTAATGTGTCACCTTACGTGGCAAAAGGGACTTGACAGATGTGATTACAGTGAAGGACCCTGAGGTGGGGACTACCCCAGATTATCCAATTATCCAAGCGGGCCGAGGGTAACTACAGGCTCNGTGGCCGCCTGCAGGCTAGGAACCCACAGGAGTTTCCTGGGAGCGTCTCGGACTTCCTAATAGGCTCGGCGTGAGGCTAACGAGGGACTTGCACACGGGAGGCAGAGACACGTGAGCAGCCGGTGGGCGTAACGGTCCCACGCTTGTCCTACGCTTGTCACATGCCTACACACGGTGGGGACAGGAGGGATTTTCAGTTCTCAGTATTCTCTATGTGCCTTTTGATCAGAAGTCTGCCTTCTTCTAAGTAGAAGCTTCTGGTCCTCGACGTGACGACAAGGAGAAGTGTCTGAGCAGGAGGTGAGAAGCCCAGCGGACGCCCAGGCGCTGACCTGCCTGCTGTGTGCCCACCCCTGCTCCTGTTCCAGCCACTCCCGGCCTCCCCTGTCCGGGGACCTCTACTCTCCCGCCCCCCGTCTGTGCCACCTCTGAGGTTACTAACAAGCAGAGGCTCAGCTGAGGGCCAGCCCAGCATCTGCAGAAACTAAAGCTGGGCCTGAGCTGCTTTGCGTTTAGGGCTCAGGGCACATCACCCACAAGGAGGGTCTCTCGTCCCCTTCTTGGCTGTAGCCCAGGGGTCACATGGAAGACCCCGGATCACACAGGTGTGACAAGTGAGGAGAATTTGGGGATCCAAGCAGCTAACAAATCCACTGAGATCTAACCTAAGAATTAAGTTGTCTGCTGCAGTGATGGCCTCTCAGGGAGCAGTAATTAACCTCCTCTTGCTTCAGTGGTGGCTGGTTGTCACACCTATGCTGCCTCTGCGCAAACCGTTACGTGTATTGGAGGGTGAGGTGGGATGAGGTACCGGGCTGGGGCAGAGGCCTTTGTGTAGACGGGGCAGATACGTGCACACACACACACTCATGCACACGCACTCACACCCGTGCACACTCACTCACACTCCCCCACACGCACACACGCACACACACACACACACACACACACACGCCAGCAGGAGAGGCCAAGCAGGTTGCAGAAGTGACACTGACCACCTGGAGACACGAGTGCAGGAACCACAGTGGCCAAGCTGCACTCAGCTCGCAGTACTTTCCAGGCGCTTGGTATGTCAGCTCCTAGAAACCTTATGAGGACAGTTCCTTTCACATTTGTTTTAACCGAACTATGTTATCTGCAAAATGTAAAACAGGCGCAGAGGAAGGAATTCAGCAGCTTGCCAAGGTCACAGGTCACAGGGACAGAATGGGATTGCAAGCCGGCCGCTGGGCTCGAGTCCATGCTCTTCGTTGTGACACCGCGGCCATCTCGTCTAAGGAGCCCACATCCTAGGCAAGGACGTCCACGCGCCCTCCTGGGCAGCGATGGCGCGGGGTGCCCAGCGAGGTGCGAAAGGAGGGCAGCTGACGTCTGCCCGCTCTCAGGGGCTGTGCGGGCTTTTAGGAAACACCGATTC